TTTGATGTTTTCTATGAAAAGGTAAGTATTTCAATAGACAAATAACAGTAATTGTTTTCTGAAAGTTCCTTTGATTTATCTTTTCCAATTTTTGCAACRTTCAATTTCCCAGAGTGCTTTGTGAGCTTTGATGCACATTGCTTATTCTAAGAACACCTGTTGTTTTGACTATCACCATGGTAACAGGAAGAACCAGTTTCTTACACATGCAGCTCCATGATTTCCAGTTGATGCAGCAACAGCTCCCTTTTCTATCATATCAGGGTTATCTTCTTTTAAAGTAAGCAGCTTGTTGAATGCCCCTCTGGCTTTGGCTGATCCAGTTATCTGCTCACTTTCTGATCAAAACGATATTATTAGACTTTTTGCTCATGGCGCATGTAGAAAAATGAAGGGGACCATTTTGTATATCGTAAAAGTGGTTTAATGTATTTTCATTGGCCATCCTTTCGACTCAAATTCTTTTGTGCTGCTCTCCTTTTGAGACTTATTTTTTTCCTTACCCCTCCACACTTTAATACCGTACACACACACTAGTATAAAATAAAAGGTCTCTGATTGCAACAAAAAAGACTTCATAGAAATCAGTTTTTTGATGGTCGTACGAATGCACACTGTAATTTGATTGGCATCCACTATCGCGACGGATAGATTGCGTGACTGCAAGTCTGCATTCGACGCCATTTGTCTTTAGAAATTGCACTTGTTTCAACCTCAAAACCGACATATGGCACAAGAATAAAATAGACCTAAGGAGACCTGCAAACGAGAAATTAGCATTTACTAAAATAATACATGAAATAACTTACCCCATTTGATATAGACATTTGCCTCTCCTAACGCGCTAAGCCACGGGGAATAATCTATGGCTGTATGTCGAACATTTGAACGAATTCGTTTATAGGCATCAATAGATTTTTGCTTTAAAACATCTAGTTCCATGGTGGCGTTGTTAAAAGTTAAAATCTATGTGTTATGCAATGATTTGATCGTAAAAAACTGTACCGTTAGGTCATTCACTGGGCTGTGAACAGGGCTCAGAATCTTGCAACCTTTGCACAGGGAGCCCAATTTGACACAGGGAGCCCAAACTTATTATTCATTGTCAGCAAAATACCACAAAATTCAAGTAAATTTTGCAGTAGCCACCATATCTATTTTGGTTATGATATGTGAGGTCTAGAAAAATATTCTATTTTTGAAAGAGATAGATATATTATAAGTAAAGCATAATAGACAACAAACTGACACTGCAAATATTTTAACCTTTAGCAGATGGAGCCCAGTTTAATTATGTAAAGCTAAAACTAAACCAAATTGCCTTTCTTTGATTCATTGTTTGCATTTGGGGGCGAAGATGGTCTCCTTAATATCATAAGTAAGTGGAAAAATTATGCAAAAATACATAACATGATTTTTTGAATGCCTTTTGATTTTTTCCGAAAAGTCTTTTAGGGAATTTATCAAGCAAGCTGTCAAAGAAGAAATATTCCATAATACAAGCAGCAGAACTAAGTTCAGCTAATTTTGAAAATTTATCAATAATTTTAGGATAAATTTTGAACAAATTTCAAAAATTCCTAGTCTGTTGTCAATGATTGAAATTGACCTTCATGTGTAACCAAAATTTTGCGATTATTCAAGTAAAACAGCTGATTTATATATATTATTATGTCTCATAAATTTTCATTCCCATTCTCTACTTTAACATCCCCATAATGCCTTGCGTTTTTGGGGGGTAACCAATCAAAAAACTGTCCCAAATTGAAAGGTTTCTTAATTGAATTTATACTATACCTGCTTTTATCTGTACAGTACTGATTATCAGTTTATTCCGAGTTAGTTTTGCGTGTATGGATCATCAAGGGTTTTGGCCTTACAGAAAATGTATTTAAAATGTTTCGAATTTACCTTAAACGTCTTCAAGCTTCTACCTTTTTCTGTTTTTTACTTCTTCATTTTATCTTTGGATACCAAACAAGGTATTTTCAACATTGTCCGATCAGCCTTCAGCAAAATAAGTGGGTTTTTACCCTCTGGTTACCCCCCAAAGATGCAAAGGATCATGGGGATGTGAAAGTCGAGAATAGTTTGAAAAAGATGTTTTTCCAATCAACTCATTATTAATACCATGTTGCTAAATGGCTGACAGCTGACCAAGGTCTTCAAAATCATAAATGGACAGCAGTCAGAACTAAAAATATAATGGCTGGTTATTTAACAATATTATTCGCTGAAGGCGAAGTGAATATTGGGGGGGATATTTACCGAGACGCGAGTCTTCAAGCGGCGAGGTAAATATTCTCCGATAATCACTGAGGCTGAGGCAAATAATTGATTTAGTATAAACACACAGGTGATTCTTTCAAAAAAAGAAAGAAAAGAAGATAAAAGACATTTTTTCCAGTAACAGCAACAAAGCAGCTGGCTGCTATTTTGGATTATCGCTGGAGGTGATCATTGTGTGATAGTGTAAGTTTCTCGACCAATCAGGGCGCCATGAATAGAACCATTTAGCCATTTATCATCGGTATTTTTAATAACATCTGTATCCGTTTTGTTTGATAGCCATACTTCCATTATATCAATTAATTATGAATTTTGTCCCTCAGCTGTTCATATCACCTTTTAGAAAAATAAGAAATATCCTTTCCATTTGCCATAAAACTGGAATCATTCATTTTCTATTTCTGTGGATTGCTGCTTGTGTTTAAGTGCTTTGAATTCCCTAAAATTCTTCATCAAATCTTTCATTTCATTTTCTAAATTAACTAAATCACAGCACAAATCGATAGCCGATCTAAAGTCGTTTTGACCTGTCCGTAAACACATCGGCACCAAAACCCCAAACCATTTTAAAGGATCTTTTCCTACGGTTTCTTGTCTTCCTACAGTTTTGTCCTTCTTTTTCATATCACTCAGTTCTATTTCTTGTACCCCAAATGCCAAGTTATCGTCAACTGATTCACTAATTTCGCCATTTTCTTTTGAAGGCAAAGTTCCCTTCCTTTTTCTCAGTCCACTACTCGAAGATTCGTCCTCTTGATCTTCTTTCTTATTCTCTGAGTGACCAGGAATATTCTTTTGTAATTCAAATTGCATGGCATTATTTTCATACACAGAAACCAGAGCTTGCATTCGAGAACTGTATTGAAGCGGTCCTACAGCTTTATTACCCATGGAATAACGAGCTTGAGATAAGTTCAAATATCCATCTCGCATTGCCTTAGAAAGTTCCTCTCTTTTTCGTTGTAACGATTCAAATTTCTCGAAAAATTCGAGAGTCAAGTCGTCTAGCTTTTCTGCAACAGAGTCATCCGCCATTTTGATCATAAGCTGGGACGAGCAMGGTCTGGGTGAGTACAGGAGGCCCAATCGTTATGAAAAAATAGATTTTTGATACTTTATTAAATAATACTACTTTATAAACTGAAAAAAGTAAAGAATTTGAAATAAAAAGCAATATTGGAGCATTGCTTTTGTATCTTTAAATTTATTTCTGTCTAGAATAATATTGAATTTGACATTCGGTACAGAAATGAACCTGAAAGGGAACAGCGATTTGGGTTCCCTGTGTTCCGTTATATTGTAAATCAGTTCGCAGTTGTTTCGGTGAACGGAGAAATATTGCTAAAATTTTCCTTTATTTTGGCAGTTTTTTTGGGTTTCTGCAAACATTTGAATAAGCAAAGAACATCACAAGGGAATTAGGAAAGGGGGGCGTAGAAATATGACATCGACTCTTCAAGATCGAATACTGGAAGCTGCAACTAGAATCAAAGGCTACGTTCGACATACACCGCTGGACCATTCTCATTGGTTAAGCACCGAGGGAAAAGCCAATGTTTACATCAAATGGGGTAAAGTTATATAAAACATAGAAGTTTGCAAAGGTGATGGTTGCTATAGACTGTCGGATACTGTCCAGCTCAATCACCATTTTTTTATTTTATCCTAGATTCCATGTTTCGGACCAGAGATATAAGCATTTCATAGCCCAGATAGCCCAGTCACATACATCTCACAGAAAGGCTTATCAAACATTAGAAATGGAAAAATGATGCATCATTCATTTGACAATGGCTGTCTTCCTTTCCCTTTCCTCTTGGTCCACCCCACCCCCCTCCCTTATCCCTTGGTACACACAGGAGCATAGCGGTCTCAGTCAAACACATACATATACACATTCCACACTCTCCCCTTTCTACGCCAATGCAAACGCACAAATCCTTAGACATGACCTGGGCTGTTAGGACAGGGCGTTCAGGTTACTTAGCCTGCGTCACATCTGGACTTTTTTGTAATTCCGACAAAAAAGTCTGGATGTGACGCAGGCTAAGGTTACTAGGCAATGGCCTCAATTGACTCATAGTAAGGAAACAGCTTTCACTATAAAAAAGGTTTGATTCTCAAAAAGTTCAATTTATTACTGATGACCCTCCCCTCTGAAGCCCAAGCCCTCCCACTCCCCCCACCCCTTATAAAAAACATGCCTTCATTCGACATAGTGGTCATTGAGACAAGACATTTGCTTGCATTTCAGAAAATGAACAAGTTACTGGTTCTTTCAAAGCTAGAGGAGCTTTTAATAAAATAATCACCTTGATAAACACTAACCAATCAGTAAAAAGTAAAGGAGTAGTAACTGCATCCAGTGGTAACCATGGAGCTGCTTGTGTAAGCATTGGAAATAATCTTGCTTATATATAATAATATATCCATTGATAATAATACACTCCTCCTCCTAAGCCTGTACACCCCTCATAGGCCTATAGGCCATCAACAGCATCTGAACGCCAGATTGTTTTCCTGTTGGTGATGTTTCTGTAGCATTTTTTGTTTTTTTACAGGGAAGGGTTGCTAGCCCTTGCCCAACCCTCCTCCTTTCTCATTTGGGCTTGGGACTGGCCATGGCAGAGTTAAAAATAATATCAATAGATATTAATAAATGGGTTCTTAAAACAAAGATAATTTTCAAAATTAAGGGAGTAGTACTCACTGTACTCTCATGTATCCATGGTAACAACAGGACCTAGTTTTAATTTGTATTATACATACATTTCTTTGTTCTATAGGTAGACAACTTGTTAATTTGGTCCTTATGAGCTTTTGATTATATTAACCATTAGTTACAAGTTAAATACAAATTTCTAATTGATGAAAATTAAGGAAGTAGATATAGTATTCATATATACCCATTATACTAATTTATATTATTATACATTTTACTAAGTATCTCAATTCTGATTGGTTGAGAGCCCTCAGCCAATCCCTGATATCGTGTGAACTCAACATGATAAATGTATTATCTGTAGGTTTTCCTACAGATAATACATTTATCATGTCAAGTTCATTCAAGGTCATGCTGTGGTATCTTTGTTTTTATTCATTATATGTATTTATGTATATTTCCGGAATTTATTTCGGTTATCGCATAATATTGTAAATTATCAAGGCCGAGGCTGTGTTAACACAGCCTCGGTCTTGATAATTTATGATATCATGCTCAACCTCATCCAATAATTGCTTAATACACTATCATTATTTTATAATGGATGGATATGAAGGTTATTAATGTGTATATTTTCTAGTCATTGGCTATGAAGTCACTTGGTATTAATAATGGAGTGGTATATTCACCTGAGTATGTCAGTGATGCTAAACGTAGCATGATTGATCAGTATGGAGGTCAAGTCAAGCTTCATGGTCAAGATTGTATTGATACTGAAAATTATGCTAGGACTACAGCTCAGGTATTGTACAAAGGTTGCTTTATTCATCCATTCACAAACATCAAAAATTTGTTTGTATTTGTTTATTTGTTATTTATTTGTTTCTGTGGTTGTTGTTTGCTTGTTAAGGTGGTTGTTTGTTTCTTTGGGTGGTTGTTTGTTTCTTTGGGTGGTTGTTTGATCCTTTATGGGTGTGTGGTTGGTTGTTTGATTGGGTGATTGTTTGGGTGATTGTTTGGGTGCTTGTTTGTTTGGATGGTCAGTTGTTTGGGTTGTTGTTTGTTTGTTTGGGTAATTTGGTTAGTTGTTTGGATGGGTGGCAGCTTGGGTGGATGTTTATTTGATTGGGTGGTTGTTTGGGTGTTTGTTGGTTGTTTGATTGACTGGTTGTTTGGGTGGTAGTACTTTTGTTTGGGTGGTTGTAGGTTGCATTGTTTGTTTGTATGGGTGGTTGGTTGTTTGGGTGGGTGGGTGGGTATTTTTTTGTTTATTTGCTGTTTGTTTAGGTTTGTGGTTGGTCATTTGGGTGGGTGGTTTTCTTGTTTATTTCGTCTTTTTTTGTCTGGATCGACGTAGCTGGTTGTTTGTTAGGTTGGTTTTTTGAATTCGTTATTGGTGTATTGGCTTGCGTTTGGTTGGTTGCTTCTTTTTTTTAATTGCAAGACAGTTTTTCAATCTATGTATAGTACAGGTAGCAATAACCAATTTTATGAGTATTTTCGGTGCAAGATTGATATTAGTATCCTTATTTTGTGAACGTTTCCTTATGAATCCTATGTTCAATCTTTTCTTTTGTACAGGAAAGAGACATGCCTTACATCCCACCTTACAATGACTATGATGTAATAGCTGGACAGGGTACGGTAGGGTACGTTATTATCTTACTTTTACTAGTCCTTCCTCCGCAAAACATAACACTTCCAATTCGATATCTGAATTTGATCAAGGCTGTCTCTGATGTTTTATGCTATCGAAATTTAAAGGTATTTTACTAAACGGATATCACAACACCCTTAATGGGATTCTGTTGTAAACGTTCTGCCTATAGCGATATTTTTGGTCTCGTATGGGCGGGTAGTGTCCAGTCGCCCCCACAGTTTTAGCAAGGTAGTGTAGTGGGTTAAGTTGGTTAAGGTTCTGCCTGCGAACAACGAGCTCATTTACACGTTTTTATACCCTCAATTTTTTGCTTACTCTAGTCTCGAAATTCATGAAGATCTTCCCTCAGTGGACGTCGTATTCGTTGCTGTTGGTGGCGGAGGACTGATCAGCGGTATTGCCACATACTTTAAAGCTGTTAAACCTGATGTTAAGGTAAGACAAATAGACGAAGCTACGGAAGAAATTACAACAGCAACACATATCGTGACGGTGCTTAAGGCAAGGGCGGATCCAGCCAAAATTTTTTGGGGGAACTAATTGAGTTTCTTCCGTCAACACAACGGAAAACAATTAAAAGAAAGCATCGAATTCTTCAGTTTTGTTGTTGTTTTTTTCTGCTGAAATGGGCGTCAGCCCCCCTTCCCCTGGATCCGCCCTTGTAAGGCCCCAACCAGCGCAATGATTCTCCTCCATCAAAACGTTTATCCGCTTGAGCGATGATTACTTGTAGCCTCTATTGTTCAGGTTATTGGATGTCAACCTGTAGAGTCAGCAGTTCTTTACCATTCTGTCAAGGCGTGTAAGATTCTTGACTTGTCTTCAGGAGACACGCTGTCAGATGGAACAGCTGGAGGAGTTGAACAAGGATCGGTATGTTGTCCATGAAACATGTTGATGAAGTCAGTCACCTTCCTTCCTTCCTTCCTTCCTTCGTTCTTTTATTTTTTTATTCATTTTCATATTCTTCTCTTTTGGGAGACGTCTTAAGAGGGCATCTCTGTAACAGCGTGCCACTCGATCTGGGCTCGAAAAATAGATTTCTTTTATATTCCTATCATCGAAAGTACTATCTATCCTCACTACAAAATTGCAGTTAGAATTGTTCTAAATTCTTTTTTCCACCCGCTATGCGAATTTTTGTCC